TTTTTTATTTCTTTATCAATTCCAACATATGAGAATTTCTACTGCGAGAAAAAGTAACACTGATTAGCAATCATGGCCTAGCCTGTTGTTGTGGACTGTTTCAGTGAGCTGACATTGAAGTGCGCTTCACCGCTGGATGCCGAGCAATGGAAAGCGGCCATCCTGGAATCAATGAACGGTGTTGGAAGATTGTGGCGAGAAAATCATCCCTATGGATCAACATTTCCCATTCGACGTGCGCAGAATGTTCGATGGTGCTCTTTTTTTTTCGTTTCATTCAAAATAAACCCAAAAATCACTTGTTTGTTGCCGCCAGATAGTTACTTATTTTTTTAGGTTTGTGGATGGACGAGCATTCATGGAACATGCAGCTAACATGATGGAATTAGCATGTGAAGAGATTTTCATTGCGGACTGGTGGCTGTCACCTGAGATTTTTATGAAAAGACCACCTGTGGAGGGTAATCGCTGGAGACTTGACGAGATCCTAAAGGTACGTCACGGGTTCGTGTGTTTTTCTGTCGTTTTTCTTTTGTTTTCAAACTATTAGTCATTTGTGTTTGTTTTTATGTTCCTCGGTATTTTAAAAAAATTTAGTTGCCGTTAAAGTTGTGATTTTCCTAATTACTACTTTTTTGGCGAGTTACTCAATAATTTCACGATTTTTGTTCATGTATAGAACGTTTGACAAAATACTAGCATCGTTTCTTCTGTTTGTTTATTAGGACACATTGGCCGTTGCAGAGCCACACCGGATATGTAGGGGTATCTCGAGAAAATCGCTAACATGTGGTGTTCAGTTGCTTCAGCTACTGTCCGCTTAGTACAGCCCATTTAAATTCTTTATTTCAGTTACTTTCAACAGGTCTATGGCGTCGTCACGTTTAGTGCTGTGCTTTGCTGTACGGGCTTGATTTCCTTGTTCGCTTGTTAAAAAAGCGCACCTGAATGTTCTGATAACTTTGTGTAAGATTCATGGAATTGGGATTAGTTTGTTATTGAGGATAAAAATAATGAGCTAAGGGATGAAACACTGACTGCGTTTTGACCTCTTCTTTCACTACGGGTCGAAATTTCTTCATAATTGTTTTTTTTTTCTTTTTTTTTTTAATATTTCACTCCAAAATTTATCATATTGATAGTTTTAGAGGAAGGCAGAGCAAGGCGTCCGGATATTCGTTTTGCTATATAAAGAGATGGAAATGGCGCTTGGAATAAACAGTATTTACACAAAGAAGACATTACAGAAACTTCACAAAAATATTAAGGTATCTCTTAGATTTATTTTTTAAATATTTTTT